GTCTTTCATCTCCCCCGCTCAAAATGTTATCGACGAGTCAGGAAAAAAATTGATGCATCGATGAATCAGGAATACGCCAACTAAAACTTTCGAAAAGTACACCAAAAATAGCCCCAAAATCGACTTTTCGGGCTGTTTGTAAAGTAGCTCTATTTTCATCATGAATCAACTTTCAGAGCCGAGACGCCTCCCATTTTATAGAGAAATGTTTAATCTACTCGATTATCTATTTAGAATTTTAAATTAGTTTTTAAGGGACTAATTCAGTTACAACGTTATCCTTTTACTCACATCTTCTCTTCTCTACACTTATCTAATAGTCTTCCTCCTGCTTATTTTAACAAGATATGGATCTCACTTTCCTTGTCCATAATAAAAGAACTTTCATTAATTTATTACAAGGATTTTTTCAAAAAGAGCAAAAAAAGGGACCGATAGCCGGAGAAGCCGTATCGTATCTCTTTTATATCACATTTTTCTATTCTGCAGCTTAGCGTTATTTTGGCTGTGATTCTAATATGTAAGAATAAAACGGTGAATGGAAACTGATCTTTCTACGTTCTTCTTTACAGGGTGAAATCTCGTTCAAAGTCTACATAGGGGATATCTTGTGCGAGAAGAGATATCTCCTTATTTGCTATGTTCTATTTATTTAACATTATCTTTTTCTTCTTGCCTTCTTACTAAATAAAGCTTATAATGACACAGAATATTGGATTTAATTTTGCAGTTTACTGCAAAGCTAAGTGTATGTGTTCGAATCTCTATTCGTATAAATTGATTTTGTGTTTTTCGATAGTTTTAGTTGGCGTATTCCTGATTCATCGATGCATCAATTTTTTTCCTGACTCGTCGATAACATTTTGAGCGGGGGAGATGAAAGACGTTTGTGAGCTGACGAATCAGGAAAATTAATTAACGTGTCGACGAATCGGGCCTGAATCTTTTCGTTTATAATACTATAATCGAATATTTTTCCGTTTGTATTTTGACAGTATAAAGCTTATATCAAATGTCATACTAAGATCCCAAATAGATTATAAAACATCCAGATAGTTTAGTGACCCATTGCTCTGTTGTTGTTTGACTTATTTTTATAAATGAAAGTAAAACTGAGTGAAAATTGTTTTGTGATTTGTTTACTGTTTGTAGCACGTCCTCAAGTGGAACCATTTGGTCCGTTGCTTTGCCCGGATGCAAGGAGCGTAGGTGATGAAGTAAATCATGAAGAACCATTAACGATACCAACTTATGAGTATGCCTCCGATTTGATTATGTGACTTACATTAGAATTGAATGTCTGTATAAAGAACGACATATTAATGTGTAATAGTTGACTTAGGTCTGCACCAGTTAAGCATGAAGTATTCTTTTAAAAACATTTAGATTTTCGTCAGTACTGCTATGGGTAGTTCCATAGACATACCACTGAAGATGTTTTCTACAAACTAGCCAAGTTTGGGTATGTTTAGGGAGAGAACACAGCCTCCTTAAAATTAGCAAAAAAACATTCTGTGACTTCGTTTTCGAGATAGCAACATCTAAGAAAATATCGATCCTGAGGCTTCAAGAAAATCTGATGCCATGCCAGACCACGAAAGATTAAAAGATCACTTAGTAGTAAAGCTAATGCATTGCTATGTTAAATTTTCGCATTATAAATAGTTTTTCAAAGATCCTCTAGAAAATCGAACTCCCAGTTTTTTCAAAAATCGTCTCTGCTTATGAACATCTAGGAACACTATTTTCTTTCGATTGTTGAAAATCGAAAAACAGCTATCTACCTTATATTTGAATGCATAATAATAGATAATAGTACTGTTTGAATCGTAAATGTTTTTTAAAGCAAACATCGTTTTTACTTTGAACTTTGAAGGTTAAGCAAAATCCAGCTGTTTTTAACGTTATAAAATTACACTCGTTAAGGAATAAGGCAACTGAGGAATTCAGAAGGTGTAAGCGAGACATTTTTATAAGTTAGCCGCAGAATGTAAGTCATCCTAGACGTTTTGGAAAGGTATTTCTCGAGCTAATGAAGGTGGTAACGAGTTACCGACAAATATGTTTTTTGAAAATAGAAACACTTCTTCAAACAATGAAAAAGCTGAGCTTTCATTGAGTATTTTTCAAAACGTTTGGTGCCAAAACAAGGACCAACGGTTAAAACCAAAAATTAAAATAAATGGCGTTTTTACACTAATTCCGCCCTCAGAAAATCAAATATTTAAGGCAATAAGTGAGCTGAGAAATGATATTGCTGCGGGACCGGATGGTGTTACCGTGAAGTTTCGTAAGGAATGTTGCCTCGAGCCCCTTGATGCCATTTATCATATCTTTACTCGCTCTATCCGTAATGGTGCTCATCTCTCGGCATGGAACTTAGCTGATGTTATTCCAATCCATAGGAAAGGCCCAAAGGCGTTAATTGATAAATACCACCTAGTATCATTACTCTCTATCCTTGGTAAACAGCTGGAACGTTTTATTTACGATCAGCTGAGAGCATACCTAAATAAACATCACTTTTTTTCAAATTTTCAATTCGGCTTCCACAGAAATTGTTCCACAACAGACGCTCTTCTCTTTTTAACTCATAACGTTTATAATAATCTAGAAAATGGAACTGATTCCATCATGGTCTTATTTGATTTTGAGAAAGCTTTCGATCGTGTTCCTCACCAAATCTTGCTTACGGAACTTTCTTCATTGGGTGTGAAAGTAGTACCTTATAAATGGTTTGAGAGTTATTTGTTAGATCGGAGGCAAAGAGTCCGGATAGGCGGATCGCGTTCAGAAACAGTAGAGGTTCCATCTGGAGCCTCACAGGGCTCTATTCTGGGGCCGCTACTGTTTCTGATCTTTATAAACGATCTTCCAGTGGTGACAGCGTTGCCAGTTTTATCCATTCTTTTTTCCGACGACTGCTCGTTGTTATGCCCGATGAGCGTTCTGTGCTCTCCAGTGAACTGCCAGTCTTTTATAGACAAACTAGAGGGATGGTTGCCAATTAAATCTCATGACATTAAACTACTCAAAGTGTATGTGGATATACTTCACAAACCGCGAGCAGTCAGTAGCAAATAATTTTAATTTTACTATCAATGAAACTGTGATTAAGCGTGAAACGTCAGTAGTGCTTCTTGGAGTACGGCTAAGCTCAGATCTATCATGGGGGGGGCATATTACAGATGTATCTCTTGCATGCAAAAGGCGTCTGGCAGCAATGTTTCGAACTTTGAGAAGCATCAGTGATGATTCGGTTAGGGATTTTCAAATCAGGTATTCTAAGTAAACTGGACTATGGTAGCATTGTCTATGCTAGTAAATGGTATGGAGGTGAGCTTGAAAAAGTCACTAGATTAACGGCACGAGTGATATGTAAGAAATTCGATGGATCTGCAACATCTTTGGTTAATAAACTGAAACTTCCAGATTTAAGGATAAAGAGAAAATATTTTAGGCTGCTACATTTTTTTAAAGTAAAAAATGCTATTTCTCCTCTCTCCATTTTCACTCCTCCTTTTATAAAACCGGTAACTGCTTGCAGATCAGATCGATTTAACGTTTGATCGACAGAATAGTATGCAGGTTGAAACTCCGACAGTTTCCAAAGAACATGTAGGCTCTTCATTTTTTTTCGAACAGCAATCGACTGGAACTCTTTGCCAGATCAAGTAGTGACCGCAAGGACAGCCACTCCTTTCGAAAGAGCACTGCGAATCCATCTGCACATTTGAGTAATCTTTGGTATCCGTCTTACTGCTTTAAACACGGTCACTTTTAGCACAGTAGTTTGGTTTTCTTTTTCTTTTGTTTTTTCTTTTTTATGTCTTCTACTGTTCTTCAAACAGATGTTTTCTTCTTTTCCGTACAGGTGGTACTTTTTTACAAGCCTCTGGCTTTTTGTGCTTACCTATGTGTATAGGATTTTCTGAAAGATTATTTTCTACACATGAAATAAAGTTCAAGTTCAAATGAGACCATCTAAATTGACCATAATTGAATGACAAGCCTTTTTGGTGCTAACAATGACGTTTAACTATGAATTATTTCACCAAATATTTACTCTTATGTTTACAGACTGGAAGTGCAAGCCACAGCTTGTATTAACTATAATGGAGAAATAGTTCATAACATTAGTGCTGATATGTTAGAAGATATTAAAACACTTGGTAAAGGTCGTTATGGAACAGTTACGCTTGTCCAAATTGCAAAGTATCCACATATAAGAATGGCAGCAAAAGTAATCATGATAATTGCATGTATAATATTGGTAACTAATGTTTATTTTTGCCGTTATAGAGAATGACACTCGAAACGGATGCATCTAACAGAGCACCGGTAATTACAGATCTAAGAACAATGAAAGCAGTTGGATCAGAAGGATATCCATATATAACAAAATTTTACGCGGCATTAATCGATACGGTAAGGTCAAAATACGAAATTTATAATCATTGCAAAACGAAAACGGAAATGTTTCTTTTTTTCTAAGACATATAGTGAATTAGTTATATGTATGGAAGCCTTAGATACCTCAGTAGACAAATTGTATCGAACAATACATCAATCGAAAGAATTAGAATTATTAAGATCTAAAGAAAATAAGTTTAAGCATCTGTTGAATTTATTACTTTATCGTCTGGTACACAACGTAAGTGAATAATTCAATTATTTAAAGGATTTGAGAGTAATTATATTCGCTAATCGGTAGCTACATGAAAATTTCATAAGTAAATTTCGTTTACTTCGATCCTAAGTGATTCTGACTCTTTATTTAGCTCTAGTTTTAGCATAAACCCTGCGCTAAATGTCAAAGTTTCGAAGTGATAGCTTTAGACCAAGATAATGAGGTAGTCGATGATCTTCACGTTTTACCTGATAGTTTGCTAGCTAGTGCAGAGGTGGCGATTACTAAGTTTTCAGTAAAACTCGATGAGCCCAGTTTTCTCTAACAGTAATATTTTGATACGACTTCCACCTCTCTCATGTTATTTCCTCAAAAAAATCTTTTCCTGCCTCGTTAGTTTCCTAAACTGAGGATGAGTCTCTTGTTAGACCATTATAGCTACGCATGAATGTTGGATTCGTCATTGTCCAAGCGGCCATTACTACTATTTGTTCCTAGGGTTACAACGAGAATCAGTTTTTATCAAAAAAGTTTTACTTCTCGATGCTTTTCACATTAGCTTACAACTATTATGAGCACTTTGTAACAAGAATACTAGTTTACCAAATTTTTTCATTCAAGTTTTGCCCAAAACGAGCCGATAACTATTCACTAGCTAGTAAATTCGTGAAGGAAGCGAATTGGAATGTTCCAGTCGAGGGACTAAAGCACCCTATCTTCTCTACATGCATGTAGCGTTTCTTTTTTTCTGTATTTAAGGAGGTACTCCCCTCAAACATATCCTTAGGATTTGCCAGTTTGTAGAGAACACCTTCAAGGGTATACGTGTGCAATAAGTCATGGGTGGTTATATTGGTTTTCGCTGAGAGGTGAAGTTTTTAAAAATTGAAAAAAATCGATTTTCCCAGCTATTTTGCACATGGTGCAAAAAGTATTTCTTGCACAGTCGCCCGCACCAACGACGTAGTATACACAGGATTTGTTACTTTCGAAATTTATACTTGATCACGTATTTTAGATTTTGAATTTTTTTTAAGTAGCTCAAGAAAATTTGTCTAAATTGAAAAATTTTTGGACATCGCGAAAAGCGCACCGACAACAGAAACAGAGCTTTATACATAAAAAAAAGGCATTGAGAGCGGCGGATAATTCACCATTGAACAATTATTATTTTGCTACGAGCCCTCTGGCAACTAAAAACTTAATGTATTTAGTTTTGTAAAAAAAATAGTTAGATGCCGAAGTTATAAGGGTATTTTTGATCCAGTACTGGACGAGAAAGTGCTTAGTTAATCTTACAATGAAGGAATAAGAAACCAAATTCAGATCCTAGAATGTTTTTATCGGTATTTTTTATACCTCAGAATACTTAAAACTTCTGCTTTTTGAGTGCTGCTGACCTGAAGTCGGTCTCTACGTTTTTCTTGATATGAGCAGAAAAATAATACTTTCTTTTCAAACTTCGGCGCAAAGGATGTGGGAAAGTTTTCGGTTAGAGCAGCCTAAAGAGCCCCCCCTTCCCCTGTGTCAAAGATTTTGTTTTCAATTTTAATGCTACAGACCTCGGGATGGTGTCAAAATATAGAGAAGACCTGCCTCTACAGCCTAACAAAGCCGGATTTTTGAGAAAAAAAAATTAATTTTTTTAGACAGTTTTTTCAAAAAACCTAGATTCATTTTTTAGAAAACTGGCGTTTTTTGTAAACAAATAAATTGAAAACAAAAATTCCGGCTTTGTTAGGTTGTAGCGCTGATATTTACCTTCATTTTAAAACCTTCTCGAGCTTTCTAACATTTAAAATGGTGGAAAATCTTTGACGCACAAAAAAAACAGTTTCGAGAAAAACGCAAAACAAGTTTCTCTTTTGATTATCGCGGTTTCTTTTGGAAAGTGGTACAGAGAAAAGTCTGAGAGCAGTTCGCCGTAGGTTATCGGCTATGGCGAATCGAATGAGCACATGTAGAGACATGTGCGACTTTTCCCATATGTAAGCGTTATTCCCACGGAAAAACCATAAAAAAACAATCAGTTTTTTGATGTTGGGTGCCTCAGAAAAACCTTTTCCAAAACATTTTTGCCCCTATCTCATCCTTGGACCATTGAACATTTTTTAATTTTGGGTTTCGATAAAATATACATGGTCCGATGCAAAATTTCACGCTGATAACGAATATGACCTTTATTTTGCATGAAAATCTGCTGAAACCGGAAAAAAAATTTGTTTCTCGTCGAACGTTATTTATAATCTTTTGCCAAAGACGGACTGCTGAGGGCAGAAATCTTACTTTGGAACTGTGAAAAGCTGCTAGATGTAGGCAAAAAGACTGACTCTTTCAGAATATCGCGTTCAAAACTGTATATGACTCCATTAAAGTGCTGAAAAGTCACACTCAGTCCAGAAATCTCGCAAATTCCCCTACCCTAGCCAAGTTAACGGAAGCAGTCCTGGAAACCTTGGAAAAATGATAGCGAACTGTTTGAATTCGATCTAGTTTCTTAGATGTCGGCCGAAAATCCGTTTTTGAGAAAATTTTTCTACCTCATTTTCATAAGAGTATATGCTCAGATCCTGAATATCAAATGATGAAGCCACTAGATCTCAACTCTTTTCGTCCAAAGTTTGCTGATAAACGTTTATACTTTATTTATGATTGCGTCAGATCAAGCTAAAGGCTTATAAGATCGAAATGTTCTAATCAATTTCACAAAGTAGTTAGTTCTCTTCGGTTATTATATCTCTTGAAAATTCCAATCAGTACTCTTCTGGTGTAATAGTTGGCCAACACAAAGTTGATTTACTTAGCTTTAGCATTCCTAGCCCATCGGCTTGTCCACGCGTTACGTAGTAACATTTTTAACACTATAATTAGCATTTTTCTCGGGACGTTTGAAAACTAGAGAGTTGGTTCTTGAGCTGCCATACTAAACAGTACCATCTGCTCTACACATGCTGAAAAAATGAACAAAATCGGTTTAAGTTTATGCCTTACAGAGAAATTCTACGGCGTGTTACGCAGTAACAAAGAAAGGCCCTAGATTTTTTTGTTATTAAAAAGAATTAAATCGTTTTGAGAGCTGACAGCAGACAAAAAAGATTTCGAGAATCGCTTTGTAGAAAATTTCTGAGAGTCAGAAAGAGAGTTTTATTCCGTTACGCACACTTTTTCGTTACGTCGTAACACTTGTTTTCTTCGTTTTTGATCAAGTTTTCTCATCTTGTTTTGAAGCATTGAACCTTGTTCAAAAAATTTCATTTTTGTACAGAATTGCAGATTTGTGTGCTTTTTCCAATGCGCTCACTATACAAAATTATTGAGAAATGCTTTTAACACTGAAAAAATTAATTTCGAAAACTGCTGTCTCCGATGTTTTTAAAAAATTTACTTTTTTTTTAAAATTCCTGTTTTTTTCTAAGCACGCAAACTTAAAATTGAACAAGCCATTTTATAGAGAATCGAATTCTTTATCCGATGGTGTATATTTTGATTTTTTTGAAAAAATGTCTAGATCAGGAAATTGCAAATAAACTTTTAAATAATAAAATAATAAAATCTAAATTTTTTAATTGAAATCTCAACTTTTTGTGAAAAGAGATTTCATATTCATAATCAGCGACCAGAACTGCGTCTAGTGATGTGCCATCTACCGATTTTTGGAGTAAAATAACGAAAAACAAAACTTGATCAGCGAAGTGTACCGTTACGTGGACAAGCCGCCATGCTCAATGGAAATGATTGCATATAACCCCCCCGCCCTCCCCAAAAATAGACGGCCACCCTATATTAGAAGGCCACCCCCTGTATAAGGTCATGTCCGAGCAAAAGTTCAAACGCCCTATTAGAAGATCATGCACCAATTAATTAATATATTCCAAAATTATCAAAATTTTTGTAACTATTAATTAATAATTAAGGAAATATAACCGATTTTTTAATATTTTTTTGCGAAATCCTTCCTTTCCTATCATAAATAGTACAGTTTTTACGAAAAATGGTAGTTTTTTCAGCGAAAACTACCTAAAAAACAATAATTAAAGTTATTAATTAATTATTAATTTTTACTTTTTTAAACGATTTTAATTAAAAACTGGCAAAAGATTGACCCCTAATAGAAGGCCACCTAAAAAGTAGCGATGTACCAAGGCACTATATAAGGGCATGCCCCTTTTATGCGGGGGGGGGGGGGCACATATTTTAAAATTTAAATAATTTTTTATTAAATTATATTGTTAATGGAATAAAATTATATAAACAAAAAAAAAAAAA